CTTACCTTGTTAAATTTGTACCCTTTTCCTATGCATCCCTTCTTGTCTTGGCTGACATTGATGAGATTAGTGTAGTTGTCACTCACAAGTCACGTGTGCCTAGCTTTAATGTTAATGGTTCCTCGTTCATAGCAAATGACAGTTCATAGCACTGTCATTTGTGGGAATGTCTCACAGAACTGTTTCTGTATTGCATAGCTTTTGTTGTGCTTTTGTTGGCTGCTCAAACAAAGCTTTTGGTTTTACTGTCAGCTACTTATAGACTAATATAGGAGCCATGTGTTCTTTCCTTCCAGTCTGTCTCTCAGTGTCTGAGTTTTTCCATGCATTCTTTGTGTTTGTAAAGTGAAATGGGAAAAAATGATAGTGCTTAATATACGACTTCTGTCCCAATAGAAGGAGGAGGTACATCCAAATATGTTTTTTTTCTGGAAAGGGCATTGCATTTTTGCTTCCCCCCACTATGTCTTGTATGAATACTGAGAAGTATGCAATCATCCTTCCCACCCCCAAGATGTTCCTTTAATAAAAGCCCATGAGAAGGGATGAAGTAGAGCTGTTTTTAATCATGAGTCTGGACAGCTGAGCAAAACCCATCTTCTTGGCGGTTTTTTTTTTCTGTGAGTGGGGAAGATAAAGGCACTGTTCTACAAAATCTGTTGCTCCAATGAATGACAGCAAAGATTTCTAGATAGGGGAAACAGTTGCTCATATAGATTTTCTTTCTCTTCGCTTCATATTGAGGAGGCTGAGATAGCAAAGGATGCTTTCAGAGGTGGCTCTGTGTTCCACTCTTCTATCAGATGCCCTCAGGTTTTTTTCATTGCTTTTCTTCAGGAAAGAGCAGAGGGTACTCAGATGCTCAAGGCAGAAGGAACCCCAAATTAGGGATACACTGCTCTCCCTGTAAATGATTTAAGGCTGTACTTGATGTCAGATGTGGTATGGAGGTGAAGTGTTCATTTTCACAGGAGATGCTATCTCTTCTGTGTACTTTTATGCCAGAGTTCAGGTATGTTTTGAAAGATATGTGTTAAAGGAAAAGGTTAATATGTACATTTCCAAGAAGGCTGATCTGTAAGGTGCTGTCTTGGAGGAGCTGGGGGCAGGGAGGAAGTGCTGGAGGTGAGAGTTGATATGATATATACGTGAATGGAGTATATGTTTCCAGAAATAACTCGCCTCACATTCCTTATAGCAAAAAGTACTCTATGACACCTCATATGTATTAAGAAAAGGTTCTTTTTCAGAATTGTCCCTGAGATTTGTTTTGTAAAATTGTATGTATTTCTTGGTGAAAGGGAAGTTTAAGATTTTAGACTTAGGAAATTATTCCTAAACATTGTGGCAGCAATTTTTATTTAAATCTTAATTATCTTGGTTTTAATGGAAGGCTGCCATTAATTTAATTGTACAAATTAGTGGTCAGGAGGTTTGTGGAAATAACACTACTAGTTTCCTTTATATTCCCATGATGAACTAGCACATGCTGATCTACAGTTACTATTTTCTTTACTAATATGAAATCCCTGTCTCTGCTTCCTTGCTGGTAGATTTTTAGAAGTTCAGTGAGCACTGCAAATCGCCTGAAGAGTGGAAAATTCCCCTGTCACACAGATGCCCTTATCAGCAGCAACCAGATGGAGCTCTGAGCAGGCACATTATCAATGTTAAATTGCCTTTTCTGAGTAGAGAGGATTAAAGCATTCCTTCAGAAATGGATGGCATAAGCTGCAAACTTAGGGAGAGTCATATTCAGAAACATGGCTATTTTAAAAACATATGAAAGTATCTTAACAAATGCTGCATATCAAAAGTGTATTATTCTTTCAAGTTGGAGCTGAAATTCTTAAAAAATAATTTGTTTTGAATAAAATAGTCATCCTGTAGTTGCTTCTTAAATATATATATGTGGGGAGGGGATCATTCGTAGCTGAGAGAGATTAAGTGCCTAAAATTCTAGAATAGAATTTAATATGTATTCAGTCACATTGTATGGAACCTAAAATTGTTTGATTTTTAGTTAAAGGACAAAATATGTTTAGAAAGAGCTTTGCAGTTTGGATTGAATTAGCAAAATTAACATTTCAGAATAATAGAATTATATTCCTTTAATTAATGTATGTTGACTTACTAAAATAAACTCTCATATAATGTAACATAAATTGTTTGCTCCAAATCTTGGGCGTAAAAGATAATGCAGGACTGAAACATCCAGTTCCAAAATTAAACAAAGTTACGGAATTTGGCCTAAACAATTGGTGCCTAACTACCAGATGACAGTAACGCTAAGAGAAAGCATCACTGTGACATGCAGAGATTTAGTGACACAGCTCCTCTTTCATACTGATGAGCTGCAGTGAATACCAGTGTTTCATTCAGAATTAACCTCCAAGGCTTTTATTAACTAGCTTATCTATAAAGGTCAGTGCTTTCATTAT